ATATTACTGCTGATATATTCTTTCTTTCTTGTTTTCTTTCTTTCTTTCTTTCATTCATTCTTTCTTTCTTTCTTGTTTTCTTTCTTTCTTTCTTTCTTTCTTTCTTTCTTTCTTTCATTCATTCTTTCTTTCTTTCTTTCTTTCTTTCTTGTTTTCTTTCTTTCTTTCTTTCTTTCTTTCTTTCTTTCTTTCTTTCTTTCTTTCTTTCTTTCTTTCTTTCTTTCTTTCTTTCTTTCTTTCGTTTTTAAACAGAACACTGTACTCACTTGTACTCAAGCAAGTGACTAAGATTTACTCACACTCTCACTATCATAGTGCTAATTTTACCATTTTCTACATCATCTAGTCAGCCGCACCCGCTCTTTGGTAAGCAGATTCTGGTTCATTCCACACAAATATCATGTGCTCAGATAAAACTGGACAAACAGAGTGAAAGGGAGTGGTGAGAAGTCACATATAAAAGCCAGTTTCTTCAGGGTGAACTGTGGCAGCAGACAGGTGCACCAGCAGGTGAGTGGAAACACACAAATATCAACACAGATGGTCCAAAGCAGCAATTAGCTTATTAGTACCATACGTGATGGCCTGAGCTATACATACATGGCAGCATATACTTTGTAATGTAGCGCCTTGTTAACAAAAGTGTTATTGCTTTGTGTTTTATTCAGGTCAATAATCTCAGACACCACACTTCTGATCCAGAATGCAAACATTCATAACGTTGTGTGCTCTTCTCCCGCTCCTCTGTTTTGTCCACGCAGATGTTGTGGAACGTTTTGAGGTTTGTTGGTTTCTTATTCCAGATTATCAGAATAATTAAATATGTGTCTTATCAAATAGCTTCACTTCTGTTACTATTAATTATTATGTATTTTATCATTTTGCCCCAGGATGCACCAGAATGCATGAAGTACTTTTACAAAGAAAAGGTGCCTGAGTTGGGAGCATCCACACCTGGTGCTGCCCGCCTCTGTCAGCGCTTTGTCAACAGGTAGTAAACCGGCAGAAAGAATACTTTAAAACTGAATCAGCATACACAGCATTGTAATGTGTACTCAGAATACTGTTTTTCTATGGTATCTTTGAAAATCCAACTGCTGCTTATCACTTTTAGAACGAAAACTTTCTTTGTTCTTTATTTATCATAGTAGCACTTCTGATCTATTGCTAATATTTGCACCATCAGGTATCACTTTGCCACACTGTATGACACCATCCATCGCATTGCTGTCTACTCTGCCTATCAATTCCAGCCCAGTAATGGAGGTGGCAGGGAGAACAGGTGGTTTGTAGAGCCACAGGTTTGTTCCACACGAGCTTATTTTGCATATATATTTATGTCAGAGAGAAAGTATGAAGAATATGGAGTCATAAAATTTACATTTTCTGTTCTTTTAGACATTTTTAGATCATAAGGAATTAATTATTTGCTATCTTGTTTCCATGCATCTTAGCTAGTAGATCGGTCTTGGCAGGGAGAGATGAAAGATGGATACTGGCTGGGGCAGGATCACCCTGGTGTCTACCTTGGAGAGAGACAAGCTCTGAATGAGGACTACACAAATTCAGGCTTTGACCGTGGTCACCTCAACCCCAATGGACACCATCCAGGTTGTATGTTTTTCAGGAGGGTAGACAGTAGATGGCAGTACAGGACTGGGGAATTGTTTTTGACTGCAGCAGCTGAGGATAGATAGACTTAACTAACGAGCAGCATCTCCAACCTTATGTTTCAATGTTTTCTGCTAAACATGCTTGAAATTTATAATTTTCTAGAATATTTTAATTACTGAATGAAAATGACTAACCCACTTCTTGACTCATCGTGGCTCTCACCTTTTCTTTGGACAGAGAGACTTTAAGCTTGTCCTTCTTCTCCTTCTCTCCTGCAGTCCCTAGTCGCAACGCCACTTTTACCCTGACTAATGTGGTTCCTCAGAACCCCAAGCTGAACCAGAATGCCTGGAGGATCCACGAGTCCCAGCTTACTGAGCTTTTTCTGGAGAAGTGCCCTAAGGCGTACGTGCTGGTCGGTGCCATTCCTTCTGCAGACAGCTGGATTGTTAAAAACAATGTTAAGCGTGTCAACATCCCAGACTACCTGTGGAATGCCTACTGCTGTGTGGACAACAACGACAGACCCATTCAGAGCGGCGCTGCCAGAGCAAGAAACACAGAGGACAACTTGGTGGAGCAGCTCTCTCTGGATAAACTGGAAACATTCTTGCAGCAGTTCACGGCACAGCCAGTGGGAGAGTTGTTTTACAACAATTGCAGAGCATAAAAGCAATGATGGCAGTAAATTTAAGGATCTTTTAATTGTACATTGTTGTTTTACAGCTTTTAAACCAATGAATCCTTACTATTAAATATTAAATAAATGAATAAAAATGAGAAGCACAAGGATAATGTGGTTATTTATTAGTAACTGTGTCGCAAAGGAAGCCGAGAAGGTTGTGCAGTCTACAGTACTGTATTCAATGTACACACTCGACCCAATCGAGGGCCTGTGATAAAGACAGAGCAACAACAGGAGTCTTAAACCGGTAATTAAACTGTAAATGCTGTCATACAGTGAATAAGCTGGAAATTGGTGATTAAACTGACTCTCAGGAGGTGTTATATTAGCTACACTTTAAGCTGACATAATAAAATGTTACATATAAACCTACAGCTTAGACTTGCAAGGTAAAGTTTACATTGACTACCATTATGAGAAAGGCCAGGCAAAGCTTAACATTTTTTATTTAAAGACATTTAAAATGCTTCTTCAGCTTTACCATACTTAAATACAGCTCTCGGAACGACAGCATTATGTTTCAACGTTTTTTTCTAGACATGCTTGTATTTAATAATTTTCTACAATATTTGAAGTACTGACTAAGCCACTTCTAGACTCATCTAGACTCTCACCTTTTATTTGGACTGAGAAACTGTAATCTTGTCCCTCTTTTACTTCTTACCTGCAGTCCCTAGCCTCAACGCCACCCAGACAAATGTGGTTCCTCAGAATCCCAAGCTGAACCAGAATGCCTGGAGGATCCACGACTCCCAGCTCACTGAGCTTCATGTGTCTTTGGGGCCACCCACATGTTCCAATACTGAGTTTCTTGCACAACTGAAATACTTCAGGTCAGGTCAGGGATGACCCTCTGTTTGGGAGACTGTACTCATTTAAAAAAAGAAAAAACTATGACAAAAAAGAAGAGGAAATAATGATACAATCACAGACTTATGAATGATTCAAACTGCCTGAGCCCAGCTGAGGCTCTTCATATACATACTGTTAGGTACATATATTTTTCGACACTGACACAAGTTTTTTTTTATTACCTGTTCACTGCAACATATGCCAATTATAGTTATATAATGGACATGGACATAATATACAGACTCTCAGCGTCCACATTCAGATTGGGTGAAGGGTTTAAGAGTTTTAGCTCCTTAACATGTGCCGCCCTATTTTTGAAGGGAACATTAGTAGTTGAACAATTGACTCAAATGCAGGTGTGGGCAGTTCCTTCATTATGTCATTATCAGTTAAGCAGACAAAAGTCCTGTAGCTGATTTGAGATGTGGTGCTTGCATTTGGAAGAGTTCACTGGGACCAGAGAAAATGCAATCCAAAGAGCTCTCCATGCAGAAAAACACGCCATCCTTAAGTTGCCAAGAAAAGCCAGCACAGTTTAGGAAAAAAGTCAAATTTATTGGGTGTTGTTTTACTATATAGATGGACAATGACACAAACATGCAGTCAAAGGAAGTCAGGAGTTTAATAAATCAAGGCCACTGCATAAAGGCCTTACAGAGCATTAAAAAGGAGGAAACCCAGCATCTGGTGATGTCCATGAGCTCAAGACTTCGGGCTGTTATTACCAACAAAGCGTTTTCAACCAAGTATTAGAAATGAACATTTTATTTTCAGTTCTTTAATTTGTCCAATTACTTTTCACCCCATGAAATGAAAGGATTGTGTTTGTTATGCAATATTTTTGTTCAACCGTAATTAACATACTGAAAATCTGAACTGCAGTTGTTTCATTTGAGGTTGAGCATCGGGCACCAGTGAGTAGTTTTGCAAAGAAATTGATCCTGCTAAGACAAGAATGTGGCAATTTAGATAGGTGATTAATGAGCATATGTTGCGACTCTATCATATCTACAACCTGGCAATGTCGAGGGAAGGCAAGAGTACGTTGACGTGGGCGTGAGAGGAAATAAATGCATTCAAAGTAGTAAGTACTGGGAGCAAGGCTGTGAATGATGGCTTCTTCATAATTAATTGTAATAATTATGTCTGAAAAGGAAAACAAACAGCCTGTGTTGCAGGAAGGTGTATATAGTAAAAAAAAACGACAGACTTAATTATACAACTATTGTTTATTGTGTGCATCAGTTCTCAATTTAGAGGCAAAAAAATGAGTCCAGGTTGTCCCATAGTGATTGACAAGTTCAAAGTTCAGTGAAAGCATTACATGGTTATTACAGAGTGATAATTATGGGTTACAGAATTTTACAGACTTACTGAAATGCTACTTGCTGCATTAAAAACATGATTACTGATTAAACCAAAAAGCAACAGCATAACCACAGCTCACAATCTAGCTGCAATCTGTGTGTATGCTAAATAATTACCTTTTCATAATTCACAGAGCTAAGCCGTTTTGACATTATGGCAACAGATCTTCACTTTGAGGAACAGCAATAATAATATTTAACTCCTCTACACTGCAACCCAACTAACAGTTCTTCCCCTCCTCTCTTACAATCCCAGATATAAAAATAAGCACAGAGGACATGTTAATGTCCAAGTTTACTCAAAGAAATCTAGTTAAATTGGAGGGGTACTAATTTGGAGCAAATGATCAGTGCAAATACTGTGAAAAAAGCTGCAACGTTCCTCTGCATGCAATAAATGTTATAAAAAAAGATTAATATAAAGCGTTTAATGAACTAAAGTTTCACTAGTTACATTTCTTTATTCCGCAGTTGTGTTCAGTTCATCTGTACTGGATCATGGGGTGATCATTCCAATAAGGCAGCTGGGACAGTTTCCTCTCAGTGGCTGTTTTGATGGGCCAGCCCCAGGCCTTGAAGAAGCCGGTCAGGTTCATCCCCACAGTCTGGGAGAAAGTCTCAGCATACAGGTTCATTTTTGTGCCGTTGTCATCAGGAAAGTTGCTCATGTGGTGGTACGCAGCAAACACCTTCTTAAAGGCATCCCAGCCAAACTTTTCCTGGAGCTACAGAAAAGGTAAGTATAACAACAACTTAAACTATTTGCTGTCTTTTATGTTAGCAGCAATAATCTCTTGACTAAAGCATCATAACCTGTTACGATTTAATGTTAGCTTCACTATAAGTCCACAAGTCTACATGGAATTGTCACCTATATGGCACACCCAAATCAAACTCTTTTAGAAGACAAAGTGCATGTCAGAGATTTGATTTGAAAGGTGTCATCTTGTACTTTCTGACACTATCCTTGTTTAGCATGTGGCTAAAATACAACTTGAACCTAACTCTACCCCTAAGTGATTTGTTGGTGACTTGGTC